AAAAACATTTTGAGAGAAAATTCTCAAAAATTTTAAAAAGAGAACCTACCTCAAATTTTAAGTTTTAGAGAGAGAGTTTCTTAAAATTTTAGAGATAGAAACTATATCAAATTTTAGATAGAGAAACTACCTAAAATTTTTTAGAGAGAAACTATATCAAATTTTATGTTTTAGAGAGATAAAATATCTTAAAACTTTAGACAGAAACTATATCAAATTTTGGATAGAGAAAGTACCTAAAATTTTTAAAGAGAGAAACTATTTCAAAACTATTTCAAATTTTAAGTTTTAGAGAGAGAAAGAACATTAGAATTTTAGAAAAACAAATTACCTGAACATTTTTTAGATAGAAAATTTTAGAGAATGAAACTATCTGAAAATTTTTTAGAGAGAAACCATCTCAAAACATCTTAAAATTTTAAAGAGAGTAACTATCTCAAATTTGAGTGAGAAAGTACCTAAAATTTCTTAGAGGGGGAAACTATGTAAAAATTTTCAACAAGAAAATGTTTATTTAAGGTTGCAACCTTAAAATGTTGAATTAAAGATGGACCACAAAAATCCATCGTAAAATGTTGTTTTAATGTTGAAAAACCCTCTAATTGATCATCTCGATTGACATGAATGAATATGAAAAAAAAAAAATTGAGTCCTAAAAATATTAATCTTGCAATACATTATCTAGACTGTTCATTTTCAAAACTTTCATATGTTTATAGATCTACTTGTTTTAACTATTTTTGGGGTCTAAAATGTCATAATTAAATAATAAAATAGATTTTCAGATTTTTATGCCGAAGTTCTATGTTATGATATAATTTGAAGGTACGCCTTAATTGGATTCTTTAAGGTTGCTACCTTATAGAAACCACACCCTTTTCAGAAACAAACTATCTCAAATTTTAAGTTTTAGATAGAGAAAGTACCTTAAAATTTTAGAGAGAGACGCTATATCATATTTTAGAGAGAGAAACTACCTAAAATTTTTTAGAGAGATAAACTATCTCGAAATTTTTATAGAGAGAAACTTTCTCAAATTTTAACTCTTAAGAGAGAGAAAGAATCTCAAATTTCTAGAGAGAGACACTATGTCAAATTTAGGAAGATAAAGTATCTAAAATTTTCATTTCTAGGAAAATGATATTCCAAGCAATCCAAACAGTGAATTTCCATTTTCCAGGTTTCTACCACATGCAATCTGAAGAGCATACACCTGAAAGTTGGACTTATGTGATCTAGCCGGTGTATATATTTTTGTTTCTTTTTCTTTTTCTTGTGGGCTTAAATCACTCACAAGTAGTCAAATACAATAAATTGACTTGAAAAGAAAATAAAAAGAAACATATCTATGATCTAAAAGTTGATGTCATTAAAAACTTTATTTTAATAACCAAAGAAAATCACATTGCTATGTTTGGGAATAACAAAAGGCATAAGAAGTAAATATGGCAAGAAACAAAAAAGAGAGTACTAGAGATTACCTCAATCAAGCTTATTACACCCCCGCACCGAATCACCACTTTCCAATTGCGTGGGATCAATGGTCAACCTTCAATCTCAAACATGAGAAAGCAATTAGGCCAACCGTCCAATGCAACAATAACTACTTTCAAACTTATATATCAAACCCCTTGGTAACCTAATTGAGAGAGATAGCATCCCATTACTAAAACCGTAACCCTAACCCTAACCCTAACCCTTTAGGCCATTAGAGGTGGGAGATGAGATATAAACAAAATAAGTGGAGCGTGCCCCTTATGGATCATGAGAGAGAGAGAGAGAGAGAGAGAGAGAGAGCTTCTCAGGAGGTTGGGACGTGCCCCTTTATAAAACTAGAGAGAAAAAGCTACTATGTGGGGTGTGCCCCCTATTTTTTATGAGAGAGAGGAGAAAGTTTAGGTGTGAGAGATATGGGAGAGGGCACCCCTTTATATAGGGCTTGAATGAGTTTAGGGTTTCTTAGAGCTTTTCATGGTTTGTCTCTTCTTTTGAGATTGAATATGTACCATTGATCTTGGTTGACTTATGGGGTGAGAGATATGAGCCCTACATTCTATAGATTAGCCATCAAGATCATATAAAAGGTGCTAGAACATTTATCCCCCATTTCCTAAACTATTTTTCTATCAAATAATTTAAATAAGAAATTATCTATAATAATATTGTGCTTTCTTATTTTCATATACAAGTCTCCTCACACTTTATTTATTTAATTTCAAAGCTTCCTTCAAAACACAAGTTACTAAAACACAAGCTTTCTTCACCCTTTAGCCTCAAGGCTTGAACTCATAAAGGAATGCCCACAAGGTGGGGCGTGCCACCCTAAGTGGTACGTCATGAGTCCCACCAAATTGTCATGGTGGACCCATATATATATTTGGGCCTTCCATGTACTATTATAAATATTTAAAATAATTTATGATTTTTAGAAATTTTTAAAATCCAATTTGAATAATAAAAGTGATGTAAAATCATTGTCATTGTTTTTATAAACCCAAATTGCATAAATAAAATAACCAGCTATTCAAAAAAAATTTAAATAACAATTCTAATAATTATATAATATTAAAAAATATAATTAAATACTTTTGATGAAAAAATGATCCATATGGTCTAGGATTAAATAAATAAACATTGAGGCTACGGTTTACACTTGCTTTCTCAAACTAACCCAATGTTTCTCATGACCCACAGTCAATCACAGGGGCTCATTAGTGGGTCACCAAAGTCAACTAATAGGCAAGGGGTAGTAATCTCTGTCTGTGGATTTCATGTACTCCCTTAGAGACGTACCAAGCTCACCTAGACTCGATGCAACCACAATTCTATCATGCATAAGAGTAATCTCTTGCACATGCACATGCACAAGCGTCACCCTGAAAAATGGTTCGCTTTCGTGAAACGACTATCATATGTGCATGCCGTGAGATGGTACACGGATGAGGCTTTGGCCCCCGTCTCTGAAGGTCTCTATCCAATACAAAGGTCACACAGTCCTTTATCTCACTCATCCGGGCATTCTCTGACCTCATCAAGAGATGAATCATTATAACCCTTATTAGTTTAATCTTTATGCCCATGCAACTTGAATTTTTCCCAAACGATTGGCCTAGCTCGTTAAGCTCAATCTGATATCAGCAAACATCATTTGCTTAATATGATCCATACAGGACAAGATTCCTATTGAGTTCATGTTCCATTATATCAAAAGTTTAGTTACAAACGCTTACAAGGCCTTTAATGCCCACATATACCGAACAACACTACATTCCAATAAATGCCAATTCTAGTAAATACCAATTCTGGGATATACTTTCCCACATGATTGAAAATCCTAGAGAACCAAACGTGCCCTTAGATAATTACGAAATATTCTTACTTCCAAGTGAGACATGATGTATCAACCAAATTACCTACTGATTTCATATTGACAATTCATTAGTTCATTAGAACTAGTGTTTTAAATGCCAGATTGGTGGGGTACATCGTTCACCTTCACATCAGTATCGAATGGTCTAATCGACAATCTAAACAATTTAACGATTGGTCGGAATTAGCAATCCAAAAAATATTAAAAATAAAAAACTTTAAATAAATTTAAATAGGAGTTTTTGGATTGGGGCATAAGGGGACCTTTACAAAAAAAAAAGCACAAAAACAAAAATAAAAGGGCAAGCTTTCTATGCTTCCCCTACAGCATAAAACTTATATACTCCCCCTTATCCCACCCTCCATACTGAATGGAGGGCTAAGATTGCCCCAATCACAATGTCACATCTCTACACCATTTTATTTTTAATTTTTTTTCTATAAATTATTTTAACACCAAATTTTGGATGTCCATTCCTCTATTAAACTCGCACTAGCAAAAAATATAAAAAACATATTTTCAATAAAATAAAATGACCAAAATACTCCTAAAAATTTCAAAGGGTATTTTGGTTCTTATATTTTATTGAAAAACTATTTTTAATATTTTTTATAAGTGTGCCCCAATGAGAAGATGGCACGT